TAATAAGGAAATTTTTTCCATTTTCTAGTTGTTAATACATGCACTAATAGATTAATTGATTGGTTGATTGATGTGAATGCTACTTTAGTCTAAATCTTTCTTGGGAAATTGTCACCAAGTCATACACAGTTGTCATACGAGATCTGATTAATACATTGAACAGATATTTGTGTGATGTAGTTTTATAAGAGAAAAAGTGAATTGGGAACATGAAAATGTAACAAGTAAATGTTGGAGACCCAAATAGGTTAAAGGTTAAATCAATCAATACTGGCTGTGTATTTTTGCCCTATTACCCCAATGATATTCGTGATTTTTGTACTTTCTTATCGATTTCAAATTCTCCCAAAAACAACTCGCTATCTATCTGGAAAGTTCGTTTCCTCTTTTACAATTCTAATCATGATTCGAATTTTTCTAATCTTCTAAAGAAAAAAAATATACACGGATAAATAATTCATGGACGAATGTGAGCGTACAGAAATGAAATAGAATTGGAATTAAAATATGTTCAATAAAAAGAAGAAAACATGAAAAGTACAAAAGTAATATCAAATTTAAACACAGATTGGTACTACAAATTATACACAATTAAATGAATTAAAAATAAAGGAAGCTAATCTTATCTGTTTTTCCCATTGAAGATCGGATTTATTATAAATCATCTTGTTATAATAAATTAATATGACATTATTCAACAGCAATAATGGAAGTTCAAAGAAATATTCATATAAGTACGGAAATTTTCAATGAAATTCAGGTGTACAATAAACCCCGTTATATGCATTAACCTTATCAATTGCCATAGTGTGAACAGAAAATATATCAGAAGAACTACCAAAAAATCGTTAACAGGCACCAAAAAAAATCGTCAAAAGGTTATGGAATTTGCAGGCCCAGAAGCAGCTAACCATTACTTTGTATGTATTTTGATGTATTTTTGTATTTAATTTTTAGAAGTTATGTTAGAATCATTTGACACATTTTCATTTAAAAACCTCTGCCAAATAATGAACTAAGATGGCAAAAATAAGTTTCAAGTCTCTTCCTTCCTCATCAATTTTTGATAAAGAAAAGAAAGCGAGGAGATGAGGGATGGTTAGGAGAGAGAACAAAGTGGCAAATAAATTACCTCATTAGAAAAGTTTAAACTTAATCTCATAACTCAATTTGAAATTTAATTGCAATAACCTTAACATACTTCAAAGATGTCAACATTTCTGCCTGATCCGTAACAAATGCTTCCTTTTACTTCTTATTTCAGCTATCGTTACAAGCATGATCGATCTTAAATCATTGTTATTCCTTACTGTATTTAAAATTGTTCACATTTGTTGCGTTTCGTATTCGTATTATTTATGTGATGTATAAAAAAAAGCAAATTTTAGCGAATTCCTTCTTTTTTTATATTTGTTACAGATATTGAAAAATATCACTTTCAATTGCATTATTTGCATTGTTAATTACGTGCAAATCACTGTTCATTTCAAAAATTATTTGACAAAATTAATTCGACAAAGTAAATTGAACCAAATTTATTTAGATATTTCTTCTCATGATATGAATTGTTGCAGAAAGTTAGTTAAAGAAATTGGCTTCCTTGTAAATATTCCTACGGACATATCAAAATAAGATTTCGCAGTCAATTGTGAAATTATAATCTTTATTTTTCAGACAATTTTCGAAACACCTGCAGGACAGAATGCTTGAAATTTGCAGACAATATATTAACCATACCCAATGATTGGGAATTTGAAACGTGAAGAACAACGCAAACTACAGGTCAAACTACAGGTCGATATGTAAAGGAAACTTTGAAGGAATAAAAAATGCTACTAATTTAATTGATAGCATATATTTGCCATAATTAAAAATATTTTGTTTGAAAACATAATGAATTCATGGTAAAACATAATATTGAAGTTATTGTATAATAATAAAATGATTTCAATGCAAAAGTTATTCTCAATTGTCATAAAAGCAAAGGCTATGAATGCTTTGACATCTTCATTTGATTGCAGTCACCAAAATTTAGCCTCATTCATGTGTGGACTTAAAACAACAAATCATAATTGGATAGGATGATGGAAAGTTGATAGACTAACTATTATACTTTAGAGTTATTTAATTATTTAATTGGTGAGTAGTAATAAGTTTAACGCTTGAGCAATGAATTGCACTAGCCGCACTAACTTCCCGGTAATGAACTTCAAATACAACTCTGATTCTGAGATACCATTGGGAAGAATTACAGTTTGATCCAGTATGCGAAAACATTGCGAGATAAATCCCCCTCACCTCATTCATCGCTTGTCGAGCTGTAATCACTTGAGTCCTATTATTGGTGCATTGATATCTTCGTCTCATCGTATAATTAACTAACTCCTTTACTGATTTTTTCCCATCCAGTGAGTTATCAGTCGTGCATCATGGACCATACCAAAAGGCATCATGATAACCCCGATTGAGCTTAATAAAGTTCCCCTCCTAATCCTAGATATATATGGAG